AAGTTGAATCAATGAAATACGAACAGTTAATAACGATGTTCCAGTTCCTTTCTTCTGATTACATATCACCTACTACGCAGGAACAGGAAGAAGAGTCATACAAAAGCAAACAAACACTGTGAACTGTTAAGTGCGACCATTTCTATATATGCGCACAGGAGACATTAAGCTCAGTACAATGAAATGGATGTCCTTGTGCAAATTTATCTGCTAACACTCATGTACTGTGATGCATACAGTACCCCTTGGCCATCAGGTCCATGGGAAAAGGGGAAAGGATGGTTATCCTTCCCTCAGAAATTAGCAGACTCGAGAATGGGATTGACTGGGCACATTGCAATTTACCCTACACAAATGCTCCTCTACCCGAACCTTGGACGCAAAGCTCTCACACACAACCAGTGAGGCTGTAACACTGGTGTAGCCAACAGGAGAACCCGCTTCCAGGCTGTGACCCTCCAGGTGACTCTTCTGTGACCTTGGCCAAATTGCAGCCCCTCTGCAGGCCTCGGAGCCTGTTCCTCCCTTTTGTTTATTCGGACTGCAGGTTCCTTAGAGAAGCATTAAGTCCCTGTTAAGCCCCTTTCGCCTAGTGGAACTCCGCACAGCTGGCCTCTAAGGGCAATGCGACCGCAATATTTCTGTCATCACATATGCTGAGGAAAAGCCCGATATCAATCTTCAAGGGGCATGGGTGGGGACAGTGGCTTGACCAGTCACAGAACACAAACTGCTCAACTGTTTCTGTCCATTCATATGGAGATGTGTCCATTTCACTGCCAGTGGCCCAGCCTGGAAGCCATGTTTGAATTAAACCTAAAAACTCCCTATGAAGCCCCAGACTGGCATTCCCCGCGGGGCCCTCTGCATGGAACACAACCCTTCCGCACGGTGGATAGCGGAGGGCTGATATGCAGCTTCTGGTCCCAGCTGGCGGGTTCTGCCGCTTGGGAGAATGGGCAAAAGCAGCCATGGTCCAGAGGTACCCCCAAACTGGTGTTTGGGATGGACCCATTTCAGCTGTGTGCCATTCAAGCAGTTAGCAGGATGCTGCCTGGGGATGCAAACACTTCTGCTCATTTTGCCTTGCCCCCATGCTAAATCCCATTAATGGCCTGTGCCAGACACCCCCTTTCTGCCCACCTTTTCACCCCCCCCCCCGATCTGTCTCACCAGCATTAACAGGTTACCAGCTTCAACAGTAGCAGCATGACATTAATCTCCCAGCACAACAGGAATCTCTGCAGAGAAAGGGCCTTTTCTCTGCATGCAGAGCCTAATCTGCTCTCGGAAGCATGGACAAATAAGCCATTGTGGAGACGTGAAAGAAAGCGGCTGGCAGGGAAGCAATCCATGCACTAATGAGCTGCTGCCCATGTTGGGTGTGTGGGGTGCACAGTGTCAAGGGGAGGGCCACAGCTTTTTGCCAGAGCACCTGCTTCATAAGCAGAAGGCCCGAGGCTCAGTCCCAGGTAGGGCTGGAAAGCTCCTGCCTGAAACCCTGGAGAACTGCTGCTGATGCAGTGCTGACAATGCGGGGGGCTAGAGCCACCAAGGGTCTGACCTGGGATAAGGAAGCTTCCTATACATGCCACAGCCTCACTGGCCCCAGGGACTAGAGAGGGCTGCGTCTGGATCACCATCACCCTTCTGGTCCAGCAACACCAGCACTTGTTCATGCTGTTCTTGCCGGAACTGTTCCCTCGTCCTCTGTGGTGTGGCCTCTGCTTCTGGCTGGGCCACAAAAAGCAGACCCTTACCTGGGGACAGCCGTCTCCCCTTACCTGGCTTCGGTCTTGTAACTCCCTGCACTCTTGGAAATAAGCTGGCAATTAACAACAACAACAGCTCAAGCTATTATTGTGTCTCAATTCTGACAGCAGAGAAAGAGGTTTCCTTCATTTGTGGCTAGCATGGAAACCAAGTGGAGCAAGATGGAGCAATTCATCCTCCTCCTACTCATCCATTTACTCTCTTACGGTGAATCTCTGGGCAGTCTGGGTGAGCTGTTAAAGAAAGTCTCCCCTTTTGCCTTATCCACCTTAATCAAAAATAGCTTTGTACTAGGACTGAAGGGGGGACAGCAAGACTCTTGTGCAACTCAGCTGGAAGAGCCACAGAGGGAGCTGGCCACTGCTCTAACGGGCTACCACAGGCCCAATGCCTAGAGGTGAGGGCTGACAGCTCACATCCCTTGCCTTAGGGCTTATTTTTCAGCTGAAACCACTCCTCTTTTGGTTTCATGTGGAAAGACTCACGGGAGCCTTTGCATCAGGATCCGCAGCTTCCGGGGCTATGTTGTTCCTACTGCAGACCCCACTGAGGTCCCTGCCTCCTGTTGCCCTACCATATACTCTCCCACTGAAAACTGGCAGCTCAGCAAGAACTAATAAACCCTGAGACTTTGCATAGTGTGTGCTCTCCACACACCCTTATTTATTTCTTCATTTATGCTGTCACTCCATAGATAAATTTCTTACACTAGTTTGGAGGTATAACGGCAGGGTTGAGCGGGGTTCACAAAAAAGGCCAGTGGGGTCCGTGCGCAGCCTGAGACTCCAGTGCCGTAACTGAAGCTAAACATGGCGCCCCATTCAGCTTGTACTGTGTGCATGGGCCTTCTTCTCTCCTGTTGCTCCATGTTGCAATGAGCAGAGCTGCCCTGGCAGTCAGAGTGCTCCACACGCACACCGAGCCCCAGGGCCCATGGAAAACCGCTGGGGAGAGCACAGCTGGTGAGCACGTTCTTCATGGGAGCCAAAGTCACACCCTTGTGACCTTTTCCGCTTACAGTTCCTGTATCAAAATTAAGCTTCATTCTGCGTTCTCATGACTTGGCATTTATCAACCAAAGCCTATCGGGGTGCTGGCACGGACCAGTGCAGAGGGAACTTGAATGAGTTCATGGATTTTGGCCTTAAAAATCTATGTGCCTGTTTCTCTTTGTATAGAAGTCAGCACAACACTGTGCACCTGGCTCTCCTGCAAGGCACTGCCGCACCTGTGTGTTTTACCACCTGCATGTTTCCATTTCACCTCTGGAACAAACTCTTCCTTAGGCTTGGGGCAAAAGTGGCAGGATGGAGAAAGCACAGGAAGGAGGAGAACCTGTGCAAGAGGGCAAAGGGGAGAGGGAAGGGCTACATCTAGCATCTGCTTACGAATTGCTTTTTAATTGTATTGATTAACTGATAGGACTGGAAGCACTCCCCCTCCCTTTGGTATCACTCACAGACTATTGAGAACATCAGCTTAAAAATAATACATCTGAATAGGGAAGAATGTACTTTGACTTGGCCTTGGGAGAAAGCATGAGGCCTTGGACCATGCACTTCCCAAGGGATCAATTACTGTGGCATGTTGCCTAATGCACCATGTAGGATCAGCATTGCTTTCAGACAGAAATGCTAGCCTCCAGTTGTCATATATTTTACGGGGCCATGTATCGTGCAGGGGGGACCATGCAGGAAGATCGTATTTAATCCAATCAGTCTAAGTCTCACCTGCAGAGCTTAAAATATGAATTGAAAGGAAATGAAATCAGCAAGTCTGACCCACTGGTTCTTCCAAAGTTTAACTGAATCTTGCCCCCAAGCAGCATGATTTACCTTTAGGAACTTTTCTTTTCTAGAAATGGTCCCTAAAGGCCACAAGGGGGAGGGCATGTGCTCTCCTCTCCTATCCCACTTGATTTGAGCAGTGGCGCTCGGAAGGTGCTGACAAACCCCTCAGTCAGACGAACCCCTCAGTCAGTAAGAGCAGCCTTCCAGATGAGTGGGACTAACTCCCATCATTCCCATCAGGTATGGCCAATGGAGATGGGAGTTGTACCTCCAGTATAAGGGAGGCCATCTGATCTTGAAAGGTTGCTTTAGTACCCCAAAGCAATGATTCCTGAGGTGTGTCACCAGAGCTCCTAATTTTGCTACCCCATGCACAACGCAGCAATTGGTCCCATTTAACAAGGGATGTCAAGTGAAAAGGGATGTTACAATGGATCAAAGGAGCCAACATTTCTTCTTTTCCATTCTCTAAACTCTTTATGATTTTCTGCTTCTGGGAAATAAAATAAGTCTTTGTAAGCAGCAGCATTCTGTTCTGGAGTTACCCTGGAAACAGCTTGCCTACCCACAAAGCCTTGCCGCCTTGCCTTTGCTATTGGTTTAGGAACAGGGATGGCAAAACTGCCTCAAGGGCAAAATGAGGCACAAGATCTTCTAGCCAGAGCAATTAAGCCAGTTGTTCCTCGGGCTTCGGACCTGCCTGAGGAGTAAAGAAGTGTTTGGTGCCAGCAATTGCTACCCTTTTGTGGCTGAGGTGCCATGGTGACATTTGGTGAGCCTGCCTGGTTTTGGCTGCACATAAAAATTACAAACAGGTTTCTGGAATAAAAGGGAAATGACTAATCCTTTCCGAGTAGCACCAGTTGGGACAAAGTCCCAGAGTGGTCCCGAAAGAGTGCCTTCATGGAAGGAGCGCATCACCTCTACATACCCGTCTGCTTGCATCGTTGGTTCTTCCCACACACGGAACCCTTCCCTTTCCAGGCTGGAAAAATTTCTCTTCCTCATCTCCTTCCTCAGAAATACACAGGACACTTTTCCAAAGGAAATGGCTATGAGCAATCCAGATTCAACTTTGCATAGGGCAACTAACCAACTAAAGCAACTTCCAAGCAAAGTTGTGAAATCACCCAAAAGTTGCATCTGGCTGACAGGACAGGAGCTTTTCCACCATGTCACTAGATCTGGCCAATTGCCAAAAGATAAGGAAGCAGCATGGGGGCTGATGAGAGGGAGGTTAAAGCCCAGCAGAAATTTCCCCAATGATCACACTTGCCCTGACCACGTGTTCCACCATCACCCACAATAGAAACATGTAACACCAGTCCAGGCTGACTGTTGATACATGTACACCACTGTGGCACTGAGCTCTTAGTTGGCAAACTAACCCAGTGAAAACGATTGACAGGAGTTGGGTAGAATTTCTCAACAGAGCACTATGTATTCTCATGTCCCTGTCCTGCATTACCAAATCTGATACATCTGAGAAATCTAACCTTTTGTGAAAATAAGTCCCAAATTTGAAGGAAAACATTTGAAATTGTGATGGCTCAAAAATTAGAGATGAGTAAAGCAGGAGCAAGCAACTGGTGTACTTCCAGCTGTTTTAGCCTACAATGCCTATCAGCTCTAGCCAGCAGAGCCAATGGTTAGTGACTGCAGAAGCCATGGGCCAAAGCATCTGGTGAGTCAAGGTACCCACTCTTGTAAATGAATGACTACTTAGGTTTCAAGAATGAGTTAGGCAGTTTTGTCAGACCTGTTCTCCTTAAAAGCAAGCCAACCAACTAGATGACTTTCCATTATCCATTCCAGCATGAAATTCTCCAGGAGTGCATGATAAAACTGATTTCTTGTTTTCCCTTCTTTCAAATAAGAAAATCCTTTACAGGTCATACTACCAGCCTATTTAATTTCTAAATTGCTTCCAGATACTTTATAAGAGCCACCCCCAATGTGTTGCCCACCAGAAGTTTTAGACTTCAACCTCCACCATTTCTATCACTTTTCATAGCTGAAAGACCACTGTGGTCCACTCGTGGATTGTAGGGCAACTTTCAGAGAACCAGGCAGCATTTCCTGAGGTATTTAAAAAGACTGCTAAATTAGGTGGACTCTGGTCTGATCCAGCAAGACTACAAACGCTGACCATTGTCATTAACAGTCATTAATACCACTCCTCTCCATTTATTTGTCTATATTTTTTATAGTGCAGTTGCACTGCCGCTAATGATTAAAACTTTACCAAATTCTTCCTGTTCATTTTACAAACTTAAGAGTATTAATATCACCATTTAACCTGTGACATTACACAGTAGTGAACAAACTTTCAATTTTGGCATTTGTCAGAGTGTTCATAACTGTATAGGCCTCAAGTTCTTTTTATGTACCGCTTTCCCAAACTGGAAAGAAGCTTGCCCACAAAATACAGGACCAGGTCCAGACCTCAATGACAGCACCAATAAATCAGAAATGCTGCCACTAACTTGGGCAAACTCAGTCTCCAATTTTATGAACGTGAATAGGAACAGGGTTCCAGTTTTCAGTCCACAGGAACAGTTACTCCAGAGTCCCACCAAGAGACTTTTCCTTTCCAGACACTCCACACTTCCTGGACCAAAACACAGGTTGGAAACTGACTGTCCCAGTTACAGTTTGAAGCATCAGGGGGATCATGCACAGCTCTTTGTGACTTGGTGGATGTAAGCACAATCTGTCCCAATTGTCATGGGACCAAGAGAGTGCACCGGGGAAGGAATAAATGGAACTTTCTAAGTAGCAAACACTCACCATGCAATACAATGCCTGTCACATCTCTCTCCAGTGCTTACTCACTCCCAAAGAACATCAACGCGGCCTCTGTTTACCAGCTGTGCAAATACATTGTCCACACCACTCAATGAAGGCCATGTCAGCGATGGAGTTCACCCCATTCAAAGGATCAAATGCAGCCAATCGCTAGTTCAGCTTTTCCCAACCTGGGGCCCTCCAGGTGTACTGGACTCCCACTCCCATCTTTCCCCAGCCAGCATGACCACTCCCCTGTCTTGCAGTCCAGCGCATCTGAAGGTCACCAGGCTGCGGGGGCTGCCCTTGTTCTTGCCTCCACTGAGAAGTGACAATGTCTCTGCCACAGCCTCCCCTTGTCCCCTCTCTGCCTCCACTTACCATGAAAGGAGAGCTTCAGGCGGGGATTGGTGGTGGTCGCCGTGGCTCCATTCCCAGTCAGCAACAGGAGCACCAGTGCCAAGATCATAGCTGTGGCTGCCTCTTCTCTCCCACAGGCACTGGACTCTGAACCTCTGGTGGCTGGAAAAGGGAAAAGTCTGCCAGGTCAGGTTACAAGAGCAGCTCACAGAAATAAATGGGGGGAGGGAGGGGGGAGGCAGTGAACGGGAAAATCCTAGGCCAGTCCTTAGAAGGGAACAGACCCATCAGCATGAACACTGATCTCCTCTCAGGTTTACCAGCCTGTTTTCTGCCTGTCAGGTCACATTCTGAAAGAAAGTGGGCTGAAGGGAGCTTTCCTGAGGTGCTCCAAGTATGGAGCAGAAAGGGATAGCAGTCCTCTCTGAATGAACCCAAATTCTCCATTATGGTGCAGGTCAGTGTAGAAAATGTGGTTACAGTTTTGGACTTAGACTGGGAAGATCCACATTCAGCCATGAAGCTGACCAATCTGAGCCTGTTACTCTCTCTTAGCCAAACTCACAAGGATGCTGAGAAGGGGGTGAGTGGACTGGTACCCCAACATAAGCTCCTTTGAGAAAGGGAGAACAAGGAGGGTAATGAGTAAGAAGAGCTCCCTTACAATTTCCACTGCTGCTGCCATAACTTATTTTTAACTTATCCTCAACCCAATGCCCCAAAAGGGTCCCTCTTCTATTGCAACTTTTGAGGCGCACTCTGAGCCTTCTAGTCCTGAGGTTATTCTGCTTAGCATCACTCAGCACCAATGCTGCGTGATGCTGGTGGTGAGTCAGTAACTTCTGCAGGGATGCAACTACAACTGCAGCAGAGTTTTATGCTGAGCCCTCAGAGGTGGCTGCCTGTTGAATTCCAGGCCCAATTCACAGCGCTGGTGATAACATTTAAAGCCCTAAATGGCTCTGGAGCAGGTTACCCGAAGGAACGCCTTTCCTGCACTCCACCAGTTCCACCTCTGGAACATGCTCTCCACGGAACTGTGTCTGTGCTGCCATTGCTTTCTTGATGGCACCAGGTGAAAACCTTTTTATTTACCAGTTGTTTTGAAGGGCAGATCGTCTTAAATATTGTTTTTATCTGAACTGCTATGCCGTGTATTAACTTCATCCAATCACCATGAGTTGGCAAGTTTGTGTATTTGGTTTTGATTTGTTTTTAATGCTTTATAATGGCTTATTTTATTGTTGTTATAAGTTTTGTCCTGTGGGCTATGGGGTGGTATAAACATGTAATAAACAAATAAATAAATAAGGATCTTGGGGTATGCAACTTTGGCCTTTCTCACAGGGAAGCATGGGGTTTGTAGTCCATTATATCTGCAAGCACCCAGGTAGGAAGTTTTGCACATTTAATGGAAGGGGTGCTGCATTCGTTCAGGAGACAGTCCTGTCTCCTGAGGCAAATGGTCAAACTGGTGTTCAGCATGTAACTTATTCTATTGCATGGTAATGAGATGTCCCTTATTTCAAGAAGGAAAAAGAAGTTGTAATAGCAGTTGAGCTTTCTACACAACCTGTTTATGCATGCATCCTGCATCTAACAACCCTGGTGCCAAATTATTATAAATGTCCTCAAAAAGATTATTATGAAAGGGTCCTTGAGTCCTACAGCTAAAACAATACCTGAACAAACAGTACCTGCTTTGTGGCATTGCTACAACTGAAGAAATGAAGCTTAAGCACCATCCTGTACATGGCTACTCTAAAGCGAGTTTCAGTGTGTACAACAGGGCTTACTCCTGGGTCAGCGGTTATAGTATGGAAGACTACATCAATCACTGTGGAGGTTTGGCTGAAGAAATGGTGATGGCACCCTAGAAGACCAGGTTTTTCCTTAGAGCACACAGGTTGATAAGCAAGACAACGTGCTTTCTCAGTGTAGAGTGACTTGTGCCATAACACAAACAACAACAGGAAGATGTGCAGGCTTGGGAATCCGCCCTGCTTTTCCTTAGCACCATCCATTTCTCACTTGCTTTCACACGCATTCACGTACAAATACACATGCACACCAACACGCATGCACGTGGGCACACATTCAGGATCTACAGACCTTGGATTTGCTCTCACAGCTATCACAGGTGCTGTCACAGAGGTTGCTGGCATCCTGCGGGTGGAGGCTAGTTGACCACTGGCACCCCATGCCGTCCCATCTATACAAAGGGGAGGGGCGAGCGAGGAAAGCATCGGTCAGCAGTGGATGGTGATAAAGAATGACAGGAATGACCCATTATTCCTTTCCTCTGCTATTATTCCTCTGCCATAAGGAACTGGCAGAGCTGGGGAAGCCTGGAACAAAAGCAACCAGGCAATTCAGCTAGTACTGCAGCTAAACTGACCAGCCTCCCTCAGTCTTGCACCCTGCAGAGCTGTTGCAGTACAACTCTCATCCTCCCTAACTGACACGGCCATCCTCATATCGGATGATGGGAACTGGAGTCCAACATGCCTCTAGGACCCAACCAGATCGGAGGGGTCCAGATTAATACAGGCAAGCAAAGGACTCTGGTGCTTTGTTTCAGCAAAGCAAGGGAAATTCTCCCCCTCTTCCAGCGATTTACGACACCCCACGCTGCAAATGAGACTTTGTGTAATGGTGGGAAGTGAGGCATCCAGATCCCCATCAGTTTCTTACCTGAACATTTTTGGCGTGCAACCATCGCAGTGAAGAAGCAGCCACCCCGTTTTTGTCTTTATGTTTGAGACCAAGAGCCTGTCATATCCCTTGACCAGCAAATCACCTCTTAGGCTCTCATCAATATCTGGGAGGACAAAAGGCTCCCACGCGCTGTTGCTATCCTGCCATCACATGGAGAGCCTCGGCCATTACAGTTCTGATCCAGTGAAAGGACTAGAGGAAGGCTGCTCAGCACAACCTGCTGGGAAGGGCCTCATGGCCACAGGAAACTCCACACCTGAATATCTGAGCATCACACAGAAGCTCCTGCAACCAGGCAAAAAGCCAGCTTGCTCTTCTCCTAGTCAGGACAAGTATGGCTTGTCAAAGAAAGGGAAGGTGGGGAAGCCCATCTGTTTGCAGGGCAACCAAGGTCAGAGCATCTCAATGGCTCTTGTTTACGTATGGGGCGAGCTCTGGCCAGAGTCCTGCCTTTTCCCTCCTAACTCAGTCCTCCTACAGGTAGACAGAATTTGGACAATTATTTATTAACATATGGCACCCCCACACAGAAGTGAAAGAACCTTTGGGGCCTTTAGCCATTACCATTACCAAGATTATG